TTAGGGGTGTTGGGGTTTAGGGTTTATGATCTCGGGTTCCGGGGCTCAGGGGCTGCTACCCGTGGGATCGGAGAGGCGGCCCGGCGCCTGACGCTCTCAGAACCCTCAAGAAATAAAACAAATTCGTCTCCCTTGAAAAAAGCAAGACCGAAACCAAAAATCTGAGAACCATTACAAACCCTTATTACAAACAAAACATCAGAAAAAGACTCGCAAAGTCACAAGAACCTGATCACGAGAAAGAGACAGAGAGAGAGAGAGAGAGAGAGACGCGAAGCCCTAAACCCAAAACCCTATATAGGAGCCCTGAAAACATTCCATAAGTTCCGGAGAAGAACCCTCAACCCTAAACCTAGGAACCGTTTTTGGGCTGCACAGCTGGGATCTGGACCTTTCTCCTCCCCGATCGTTGGCAGGCCCATCCTGTCTGCAGTGCTTCGACATCCTAGCTAAACCCTAAACCCGAAACCCTGAACCCTAAACGGCAAACCCTAAACCCTGAACCCTGAGTAGGGCTTTTCCGGCTTAGGGCTCCGGGTGGAGAGCTTGGGGGTTTATGGGGCTTAGAGGCTTTCGGAGCTGGAGTTGAGGGTTTAGGGGTTATGAGGGTCTAGGGTTTAGGGTTTAGGGGTTTTGACTTTCTAGGGTTTAGGGTTTACGAGTTTTGAGGGTTTAGGGTTTAGGGGTTTTGAAGGTTTAGGGTTTAGGGGTTTTGAAGGTTTAGGGTGTAGGGGTGTTGAGGGTTTAGGGTTTAGGGGCGTTGAGGGTTCAGGGTTTAGGGGTTTTTAGGGTTGTCTGCATCCTGTTGGCATCAGCTCATCTGGTGCTTCGATCAGGGTTGGGGCTTGGGGTTCAGTAGATGGTCTTCCCTTATATCAAATAGTTCTCTTTCAAGAAAAAGGGTTTAGGGTTTGGGGTCTAGGGTTTGGGTTTTTTTTAAGTTTGAGGTTTAGCTGTTCAGGGCTTAGGGTTTAGGGTTTAGGGTTTGGGATTTGGGGTTTGGGGTTTAGGGTTTAGGGTTTAGGTTGCTGAGCTGAAAGTCATATTGGGGTGAGGAGGGTTCACTACAAGTGGTTTAGGGCTTCGGGTTCTGCGTAAAGGGTTTTGGGCGCCACCCAAATTCAAAACAGGGCTAGGGTTCAGGGTTTAGGGATTTACACCCTAAACCCTAGACGCTAAGCTGTAGGGGCTCTGTGAGTTCAGGCCAGGGCCGGCAAGACTTAGTGGCATCATCAGGACTCCCGTTCTTTGCAAGCCGAGCAGCAGCAGGCGAATGCAGCGGAAGCGATGCACAAACTCCTTGCAGGGGGTCACGGGGTACGAACCGAACCCAAGACCCTAAAACCCAAAACCCTAAACCCTACATCCTGTAGGATTTCAAACTTGAAAATGAGTGCCAGGCTTGAGAACGGTCCATCCGAAACCCCCAAACCTCCTAAACCTTCGACTCAAGGCCCGAATACCTCAAACACGAAACCCTCAACCCCTAAACTCATCCGTGACCCTTTATCGGATGCCTGCAAATGATGTGTGTGTCAAGTGCAGGGTTGTTGAGGGTTTAGGGTTCGGGTTTGGGGTAGATTTGCCTGGAGATGTTGACCGCTGTCCTGGCACTTCCTCGAAGAACTCCTGCTAAACGCCGCAGCCTAGACTAGACCACGGTGCTTTGTTGGTGTGGGCCTCACCTTCCACGCAAAATCACAGATAGGATGTTCCTCGTTCTATGCCCGAATATCTTTTACGACGTCTACTCACTACTCTGACTGACTCCACTCCTTTCAAACTATCCCTATATAATCCCCAGCTGATTTTGCCTTGACAGCTAGCAAGCTGCCAACCACCAGTCTGGCTTGATCCGGCGCTTGCAGCAGCATCAGCATTTCAGAAGAGTTAGCAAAGTCTTGAAAACGGCAACCTCCCGAAAGCAGGAGCGGACTTAAAACTGCTGCCTGCGATTGAACGGAGCATGCTTGTTGACATGCAGCAGCCCTGTAAAACAACTCCTGCTACTCCAAGTCCCAGCCTTGGCGGAAACTGCTGCTATTACTATCAGTACTGCTGAGCAGCTACGTCCGGGCTCGCTGCACGCATGGGTGCCATATGGTCCCATAAGGCCTGATTGAAAGCCAAAAACCCAAGATCTTGACTTTGAGAAAATACCTCGAGAGTCTACTTTTCATGGTTTCGAGCATCTCCTTTGCCACGCATATTCAGGTTTCTAGGCTTTCCAGAGCAGGCCCACGGTATAGGCTCCCTGGCTGTCTACATCTACCAGCAGCAGCCATCTCGGGGTGGTGCACTTACAGCACCAGCCGAGGAAAGCCCCTAACTGCGTAGTCTCCAATCACCGGTGAAGCGGTTTAGGGTTTAGGGTTTAGGATCAAAACCTTACGTTCAAAGAAGTTCACATTCCATCGTCATTGGAGCTCCAGTGAGACGAATGAAAACATCATCTTGCTGACCGTGCAGTCTTTGCAGAGGTCAGCGTCAGTGCTGTATGATACCATTAGAGCCGGAAGTTCAACAAGGGCAAAGTGCCCAGCAACCAGGCCAGGTTAGCTGCTGCTGTGGCGCCGCTTCTCACTGCGCCTTGCGTCCCACTCAGTGCTGATGTGGGATTGCAGGCGTCGGTGGAGCACTCCTCGCATCCGAAGCCAAAATTTCCCGCGGCGGGGTCCATTGCGTCATAAACCTGTTGCAGTGTGGCACAATCTTTCGTGCCTGTCTGCACGCAACCAGCAACCACAAAGACGACATTGCAAACACCGTTGGGGCTGATCTCCTGCTTCATGGACTCCGTAAAACATGCCCCTCCGCAGGATGTCGTGGTGAAGCTGACTGTGTTGTCCATGGTCCCACATGAGCCCTCATAGACTGTGCTGGAACCCGTGTTGCATGTGACGCCCGTTGCGGCGCGGGCCAAGCCGCACACCAGGAGCGTCTGGAGATGATGAGGCATGGCTCTAAGCTTCGGACCTGTTCGGATCTGGAAAGCTTTTACGAGGGATGGACGCCTGGCAAAGCTGCGGGCAGGCCGTCACACTTGTCTGTCCCGGTATAGTATAAGTTGAGGGAGAAACCCTATCCAAAGCTTCCTTCTAAGCGCAGAAGAGACTTTCAGAAAGGGTCCAACAAGGTCCTATGAACTCTGAAACACAAGCTCTCACGCGGCTGTCAAAGCTCCTCACATAGCATCCCGTACGCACTTCTACGGATTCTTAACTGTGTTCAATTGGTTTCCAGGGTATTGTAAGAACATAATGTAGGGGCCTTAATAATTGGAATAGGGTTTTGGGGCCCAATATACTACAATTGGAATAAGGAGCCCCAAAAATATAGGTAATTATTAAGGCCCCTATATTAGACCGGACAGCTCAGGCTTATTCTTTCCGCTACCATTTAGCCGGAGGACATGGAGAGCATCGCAAGCAGACAGTCACTCGGGCTGGGTTTAGGGTTTAGGGTTTAAGGGGCCTTTTTCTGGGCCGCTTAGACGTCGGTTTCGTGGGGCCTGACTGCAATGCCTTCAGTAGTCAGCCAAACTCCCCAGGATCCAGACCCTAAATGCACCCGTAAGCTTTGAAGGACATCCCCAAGGACTGTCTTAGGGTAGGAGTCAAAGTTTACCATGAGTCTGAGATTTGAGCACGGCAAAGGCACCTTTAAGCTTTGAAGGACATCCGCGCCCTCACCTCCTAAACCCTAAACGCTAAACCCTAAAACCCTAAAACCCAAAGCCCTAAAACCCTAAACCCTAAACCCTAAACCCTAAACCCAAAGCCCTCTCCTCGAAACGGAGGCGTGCCGCGAAGCCTTGCTTGCGAATGCGGACCGCCTCGAGGACTCCACCTCAGCAGAGCTTTGGGGTTAGGGTTTAGGGGGTTTAGGGGGTTTAGGGGGTTTAGGGGGTTTAGGGGGTTTTAGGGGGTTTAGGGCTTAGGGTTTAGGCTTTTGGGGTTTAGGGTTTAGGGTTTAGACGGTTCAGGAGCATTTGGGAACCCTCATGGCTCTTGAAGGGTTCCTTAAGGGTTCTTCTTCTGCCGGCTGGAGCTTATGCCAAGCTTAATTTGGGTGTTCGCAACGGTCAGATGGGGTTGTATCGGGTGCTGCTTTGAGTATTTGTCGAGTAGAACGTTCGTTGGTGGCTTAGGCTTTTGGGTGGCTGCTTGTGGTAAGACTGTGGCAGCGTCTTGGAGCTGTCCTAAAGGTTAAAGGGGTATGTGCTAGGCTAGACTTAAGGTTTGTTGCATTCTGACGCCTAGGCTTTGCCGAGGATGCAGATTGCAGGTCCAAGCAGCAGGAAACTTAAAGCAGTAGCAGTACAGACTGACCGATGACGATGATGATGACGACGACGATGCTGGCGTTGAACACGAATTGATGATGAATAAGACGGTGCTGGTGGTGATGATGATGGCGATGGCGATGGCGATAGGGATGGTCATGGTGATGGTGAAGGTGAAGGTCAAGGTGGTGGTGATTGTCACAGGCCACCGCCAGCATCATCACCACCGTCTTCATCACCGCTGCAGCAGCAGCAGCGGCGGCGGCGCCGGCAGCAGCAGCAGCAGCAGCAGCATAATAGCATGGATGTTCGGTTTAGTGCAGCCCTGCGTTTGACGGCACAAGCTCTGCCGGAGTCACCTGATGACAGAAATCCATAGCGGCAGAGTTGCTGTAGCGAAGCTGCTCGTGCACCATGCCGGCAGTGAATGCCTCCCATCACTGAATGACGTGCTTGCTCTTGTGCGTTCATGCACTACTATATGGCAAGCGTGAAATCTGTATCCTTTCCGAGGCGAGGTAGCACCCTCCTTACATGCTGCCCTGGCACTTGCGGTTGCCATTCTTCTTGTGGCTGTTGTGATTATTTGTCTTAGCTCGTTTGCTTTGATGGATGGACAAGACCACGCGGCATGACCCTTTATTAGACGAAAAGCATGCAGCTGTCAGTGCCCGAGCTTCCCACCACCCTCTAATTTCAATGTTGAGAACCTACATGGGTCATACAGGATTTCGGCCATTGGGCACTTGCATGTGCTGCGTATTTCCCGGGCAATCAAGCTTAAGTTCATGCTTAGCCCATTACTGTCCCGCAACCTCCCTGACCTTCAGAGACTCTGCACAGCCTGAGAGGCCCTGTAAGATAACCCGAATATGTGGTGTTTTCCAAGATGCAAACTCACCACCATGTCACCATGGCCATCATTGTCACGCTTCTTTGTGTAAGTCTAGCAGGTGCACTTGAAGCCTCGGGGACGTTCGCAGCATTCGGCTTGATGCATCTCACCTGACACGGAAGTGACATTGACATGCTACCACATGTAGTACCGGTACAACGAGTCGTAGTCTAGCAGTAGTAGTAGGAGTAGTTGTAGTGGTCGTCGCCGTCGTGGTCGTAGTAGTAGTAGTAGGTGTAGTAGTAGCAGTAGTCGTCGTCGCAGTAGTAGTGTTAGTAGCGTGGTGCAAAACTAACGATGTTCGATAAGTCCTCCGGCCCAAACCGATCCGCCAATCCACATCTGAAACCCTAAACCCCAAACCCCCAAGCAACCAATTGAACCCCTCAGAACCCGAAAAGCCCACAACCCCCAACAACCCTAAAACCCTTAACAACCCCCAAAACCCTTAAAAAAAACCTGAAAAATCCCTAAAAAAACCCTAAAAACCCCCAGGCATCAACCCTCCTACAGCCCAAGACCCAAGATTCAGGCCAGGAGCATAGTGAGTCTCCGCGACCTGAATCTTGGC